CGTTATTCCTTTTTATATATTATATTTATATGTTAATAATAATTGTTATTATAGTGCTGCGTGTATCTATATATGTATGTGTGTGTGTGTGTGTGTGTATTATCTGTTACATTATTACTTTCTTGGTTATATAATAATTGTTATCGATTGTTCGGTTAGCGAATATCTCCCGGCTGCGAACTCACAAAAATCTTTTCATCCTCGCAGGAATTTTATTCCCAAGCAAATATCCGTTCATTAGCTGCCGCTCACCGCGTGAGCAGATTTTTCACCTTGAGTTTACGGGCTACACGTGCGCTCCCGGATGTCTTCCAAGCGACTAGTATGAATCGAGGGATTTGGGACGCCACAGGGTCATTTAAAATATGTATATCGTATACATATGTATATCGCGACCCACGGAATCCGAGACCAGAGCCAGCCTTTTCAATACGAATCCTTACAAGCAGTATGTATTTCGAGCGATTATTACAAGTAATTAGTCAGATTCTAGAACATTCGATATTTCGAAAATTATCTTTATGCGACTACGTGCTAGCCCTTGCGATTTGACTAAAATTGGGCAAGACTTGCGTCAAACAATGGAATGATCCCTACGCGAAACGGAAGTGCATTCGAAACGATCATCGTGGCAAATTAGAACGATCGAAAAACGGAACGAACTGAACGTGTCTTGCCGAGAAGCCCACAGCCTGCTAATCAATCTCTAACAGCCAGAACTCCAACCGAGCGAATCGACGCACGGCGAGGCGGCTACATCAGTAAAAATGAATTTTAAGAAAAAAATATTAAAATGTAATTTTAATTAATTAGTTTTATATTAATTCTACTTATTTTGTTGATTAATCAAAATTAATTCTTCATCTACTTTTATCTTTAATTTTTAAATCTTATTTTTGACAATAATAGATCTCATAACAGTTCGTTGTTGCTATTTCATGAAGGGCTTCGAGCATGAAAGTTTATGAGTTATTTGCAATCAAATTGAGATATTCGGCAAGGAGAATTTACAATAATCCAATTATATCCGATCTAAATAATCGTGAAAAGTTATACATTATCTTGATGTAGTCAGCCAGTGTTAGCAGTTTCCCCCACTTCGACAATATCAGATTCGGTTTCGGCAGTAATGGCCGCGGATCGATTGCACTTACGGGATAGAAATTTGATTTTATTAATAGGCGACGATCAATGGTGTGTAATTTTAATACAATTATGTCCCGCCGTCGCCCGAATCAGATCGAACATATATTGAACGCCCGAGAAGTAGTCACGAACATCGATCAAACACGATCCGTTCTTTCGAGCCTTTTTGTCATTGCACCAACATGCCACATGTATTATTAAATTTAATGGCGCCTTTGGATCGCGACATTTATCTTAAAATTTTGCAATTTACAGAAAACTTCTTGATGGAAAAAAGCTGCAACAAATTCTTATAACAAGAGAGATGGCATAGTAAAGTAAAATTTGTAATAACGATATTGTATGTGCAAATAACAATTTCTGTATGATAAAAGAAGTAGGAATATTGCTCGTTTACAAAAAAAACAAAAAAAACATTAAACACACAAAGTGAAGGAAAGCGTATTATTATAATACATTATATATAAAATCAGAAAAATTTGACATATTATTGATAAAAAAAATCACGTCAAATCATCTCGCTCTTACGCTCTACTAATAATAAAATCTCTATGGCATGTTACACTCATCTTACACATAAATTTGTCAGAAATATTCCAATTTCCTAAGATGCACTTATTTCAGAGAATCCTATTTTTAAAGTTATTTCTTTTCGCCATAAAGTGCTTATAATATGTTCTTGCATTTACTCATGTATGATGTGTGTAGGATGTTATTAACATTCGCTCTCTGCGAATTAATAAATATTAATTTGACTTTAAAAGACCGCAGTTTCTCCATATTATTTTCCGGATGTTATGTAATACAATATTTATAAAGAATTCTCCGCCGTCCCCGAATAATTAGAGATGGATGCACCTTTGACGTGCTGTTTCAAGTAAATGCACCAACGTGATAACGACGTATCGTTATATCGCCGCAGTAAATTATAATTGCACATTCATTACACAGATAGCATTGCATTGTGCAGGTATAACTATAAATAAAGCACATTCCTATCGGTCTTCTGACAGCTAAATAATTCTACACTTTTATATGGTGTGCATTTTGCATTACAAATATGCTTCCTTTGTCACAAGCTTATTTAATGAAAATATTGTTATTATCGATTTGAGATGAGAGGATCACATATAAAATTTTATTGATCTAATTGCCATAAAAAAACAGGGTCTAAAGATTGTAACAGAAAGTCTCTCATAGGATTAACAACACGTAAGATCGATGCATGACGCTCGGTTTCATTTGTAAGCCCTTTATTTTGGAGGTTCTTTATTAAGGAAACTGAATATAATATTATCAGGAATAAAACTTATGCGATTTTGTAAGAAAATAAAAGACAAGATTAATAAAAAGAAAATAATTTAAAAACTTTTTTTAACAATTTATATTAAATATTTTAAGACTACAAATAAATAATTTAATAATTTAATGGTTGCATTCAGAAATCGGTATATAATTCAATAAATTCAAATTTTTCAAATCTTATTTGTATTTATCTTTTATTAATCTTTAATTTACACCCCCACTCTTTTCTATTTTTATATTCGAGGAAAAAAGTTATATCTATTCCGAAAAGTCGATATCGATTTATCATACTGTAAGGAATAAGCCGCGCAACGATGGATTTCTGTATATATTTACCATTGACACGTGTTTAACCGTCCGTTTTTGGGCTCGGCACGCTCAAATCAGCTGATATCGCCTCGAAATTTTTCATATCGTCTTGAAAACGTCGCGGTTTCTTTCTCTAAAAAGCATTTCTCATTAATCAACAGAATATCGATAAATAAGCAATAGCAGATATAAATCTCTTAGATAAATCTCTTAGATAAATATTTTTGTCGCAACCTCAGATTTCTAAATAGTTTCATCCGCGTTACATAATCTCTGAACACACCCATAAATCTCAAAACTTTTCTTTTAAATAAGAATCAACGGAATATTGGGCACATAAGCAATAGCAGATATAAAACTTTTAGAATAAATTTTTTTCTCGCAACCTCAGATTTCTAAATATTTTCATCCGCATTACCTAATCTCTGAGCATATTTAGAAACCCATAAACAACGCTTGATCGTAATAGCCAACGTGAAATGCGAAGGCTATACTTATATTAAAATGATGCCAAAGATTTATAGCATTTTTCTTAAATACAGTTGAAAAAAAATTATGTACATAAGATAATTAATAAACTTTAAAAGTATATTCTAGAGATATTTCTCAACAAGATAAGTCATATACTATATGTATATATATACTTATACACTATATTCGATTTCGTTATTAAAATGAAAGTTCATTATCATACATTTAAAATAGAATTACCAATAATCAATAAAAAATAATAGTCAAATAATAAATAATCAAATAGGAATAACAAATACATTAAAATAAATTTACAAATATAAATGTTATTTTAATGTTTTTGTTATTTTTATTGATTATTTTAACAGTACAAACATATTATCGAGAAATATATATGTAACATTACAGTTAAAAATACTGTTCAAAGAGACATTATGCGAGGCAAATGCAAACATATATTTACAGAATATAGTTTGAGACATAAGAAATATCGGGCACATAAGCGGTAGCAGATATAAAACTTTTAGAATAAATTTTTTTATTGCAATCTCAGTTTTCTAATTACTTTCATCCGCATTACCTAATCTCTGATCACTTTTCTTCTCTCCGTGAACGCAGTATATAAACTCATAAACAGCGCTTGATTGTAATAGCCTTAAACGTAAACAAAATACAGAAATAAGTAGATGGAGTAACCGGCAGCAGCACATACAAGGTGGACACTTTATTTATCGATTAGAAATCAATAACTTTATTTAAAATAAAACTTATATATATATATATAT